TTTTTGTTGATATCTGTGATGTGCACAGTAACACATGTCTTGGATGAAAGGGATGGCTTGCCACTGTCGGTAGCCATGATAGTGACGTTGTACTCTGAGGTCCGTTCCCGGTTCAGGGCCTTGTCTATTACTAGCTTGTAATAATTCTTGGAGGTGGGTTGCAATTTGAAGGGAAGTTCTTCCTGAATATGGCATATCACCAGACCATTTTGTCCAGAATCCTTGTCTCGGACTTTAATGAGGGCTATTACTGTTCCAAGGACCGAGTCCTCTGGAATTTGGTTAGAAAAGGACATGAATGTCACCTCTGGGGCATTGTCATTCTCATCAAGAATTTCAATCTGAACATTACAGTGAGCCGTGTGCACTCCTCCGTCCCTGGCTTCTACACCCAACACGTATCTGCTCTTTTCTTCAAAATCCAACGTACCATTAGTTGTGATAGCTCCAGTATTTGGATCGAGACTGAAGACGAGGTTAGTACTTGCAGGGCCATTAAGGAAGGCATAGGTGATCTCTCCATTAACACTCTCATCCTGGTCGGTGGCTGTCACTTGCAGTACGAAGGTTCCCCGGGGCATGTTTTCACGGAGGCTAGCTTTGTAAATGTCCTGGCTAAACACTGGAGCATTATCATTGGCATCGGTGACTCTGATCCAGATCTGGGTGGTACTGCTTAGGGGTGGGTCTCCACCATCGATGGCAGTCAGGAGCAAGTGATGGGAGCTCTGGTGTTCCCTGTCTAGAACTCTTTCCAGCAGTAGTTCTGGGTATTTACTTCCATCGGGACTTTCCTTCGTCGACAAGGAGAAGTGTGAGTTGGGGCTGATAGTGTACATCTTTAGTGAGTTGCTTCCCACATCTGCATCTCGTGCAGAGTCCAGAGGGAATTTTACTCCTGGTAAGGCTGATTCACAGATCTCCAATTCAATGCTTTTCCCAAAGAAATGTGGTGCATTATCATTGATATCTTGGATGGCAACAGTTACGTGGAAAATATTCATCGGATTTTCAGTAACCGATTCAAACTCCAGTGCACACTCAGATTTCCTCCCGCAAATCTTCTCTCGGTCTATCCTGCCACTCACTAACAAATCTCCACTCTCTGCACTCACGCTGAAATAATCCTCTGCACTAACTCTCAGTTTTCTGGCTGGCAGTTCCTGGACACTGAGCCCTAGATCCTGGGCGAGGTTCCCCACCGGAGAGCCCTTGGCCAGCTCCTCCGGAATGGAGTAGTGGATGGGCTGGGAGATGGCGCCACAGAACAAAGGCACCAGGAAGTGAAGCAGTACCTGATTTGCCATCGTTCCAAAGCCTCTGGGGTTGCTCTGCCGTTCTGAGCTCGCAGGGAAGCTTCTTTTCGAGGTTTTCTGGGATTTTAAAAAAGACAGTCTGTGCCTCGGATGTTTGTGACTTGAAGGCAGGATTTGTCAGGCGCTTGAAGGGTGCACAGGAGACGGACGGATGTTCTCATAGGTGCAAGAAAAAGCAGGCAAGCCCTAGCTGGACCCTGCGGGAAACCCTTCTCTTCTCTTTGGTCAATAGCGGCGCCTAGAGGTTGTATTGTAAAACTGCGTATCGTGTAGCTGTTGATCCTCAAAGCTCTTTTGACTTTTGATTTGCTTAAAAGAACCAGATATTCACATTTCCCTTTAGTTTTGACATTTTCTTGTTTATCATTATTTCATGAATGCTTTCATTATACATTCACCTTCTCCATTTCACAAGGCGTGTGTTTTTCCTTTTCCCAGTTTTGGAGAAAAATGTCATCAATGACATCTGGCACTACAGAACTCAGGCCTGACTGTTGTATTCCAATAAGTGAGTGGATGTATTTTCACCCTCATTATTCAGTGGACCCTGGTCTTTACCTTTCTGCAAGTTTATTGAAGTAAATTCGTTTTTTGGTATTTTAATTTCTATGTATGTTTCATCAATTCGGCAAAAGTTTTTAAAGATAGTTTTTGCAAAAGAGAGGAGTGGTGTCTCCAGAGATATTTTAATGTATTGATAGTCTTTGCAAACCATGCTATTTTCAGTTAAGTACATCAGAGCCTGATAGCCTATTAAAAATATTGATGTAGTATTTGGGCTTTTATAATTGTGAACCTTGTGTAAACCATATTTATTTTATGAAACAAATTATTTCTAAATGTGCAATACCCTATATACCAGATTCTTAACTTCAACCAGTCTAATGCCACTAATTAATAAAGTTATTGATTGCCAGTAACTCTTGGTGAGACATTGACAGTCTTAAACATTTAATTTTATTATTTACCATTTATTAAATTTATTTATTTTTGTGTTTATGTGTGTGTGTGTGTGTATGCAGTGCACTCATGTGGAGGTCAGAGGACAATATACTGGAGTTGGTTTTCTCCTTTCATCATGTAGGTGCTAGGGATGGAACTCAGGCTGTTAGTCTTGGAAGCAAGCAGCCTTACTACTGAGGCATCTCACTTGACATAAGTGCTCCATTTTAGGACTTGATCCTGGATTTGGGTAACTCAAATAAGCAATCCCTTTATTTCTAATGTACCAACAAATCAGATGACAATGGCTTAAATGCACCTCCTAAATTTCATGTGTTAGAACCTCCATCTCCCAATCCATGGTATAATGGTATCTGGAGGCAGGATCTTTTTTTTCTTTTTTTTGGTTTTTTTGAGACAGGGTTTCTCTGTGGCTTTGGAGGCTGTCCTGGAACTAGCTTTTGTAGACCAGGCTGGTCTCGAACTCACGGAGATCCACCTGCCTCTGCTTCCCGAGTGCTGGGATTAAAGGTGTTCACCACCAACGCCAGGCTTGGAGGCAGGATCTTTAGGAAACATTTTAGCCAGGAAGGCTTTGCCTTCATTGCTGAATCAATGATTGGTCACTGAATTATCATTTAAGTGGCTTTGTTGTAAAAATAACAGTCTCTGAGATACTTGCTTTGTTTTTTACATGTGATGACCCTGAAAGAAAAGGCTCCAAGCAGATGTGGAGCAGATGAGAGTGCCATGTTCTTGGACTTCATAGGTCCCATTAACCAGATAAACAAATCTTTATTTTAAAGATCAATTTCCAAGTCTCAAGTATTTTCTTAGAGCAGCAGAAATGAATGGAAAATCGTCAGCTCACCGTTTTATTATTTTGAAGTTCAATCATCTCCAGTAGAAACACAACATTATATTTCCCACAAGATTCCATTTTTATTATTTTATTTCCTGCCTTTACATTCCATTCCACAAGATTCCATCACATTTATGGATCTTGAATGAAAATATAGTTTTATATGCTTATAGATATTGTCTTCAGGGTCTATTGACTCACACATTTTAATGCTATATTTTCTAACATATTAAGGGAAAATTTATTCCTTTGAGACACAATGAAAAACATTTTGGTTCATTCTTGGATAACCCTCTTTTGCAGCTACAGGAGTAAAATAATTTCATAGATTTGAGAATGGACCTATAACTTCTGACCAAAGAAAATTCTAGATAGAACACACTCAGGATTCATATTTCATTGCTGTAATGAATGGTCTGGGGATCTCTTGCAGAGACAGAAATATTTTCCTCCTATTTTGAAATATTCTTGTGTTGGCATTTATTCACTGTATATAAAACTGGGTTTCACAGGACATTTTTATACATATATATTGTACACTGGGCCCCTGTGCCCCCATAGCCTCCTTTTCCTCTTCGCTTCCCTCCTGTTAGTCCTCCTTTCCCTAGCAGTTTCACTTTTCCTTGAATACCATACACACATATATCATTTTATGTATCTATATAAAACTTAGGGTCTACAAATGAGAGAAGACATAGTATTTGTCGTTCTGAGATTGACTTAACTTGTTTAATATTAACTAATGCAACTTAATCATCTACGGTTGCATTCAATTTCCTACAAACAACAAAGCTTCATTTTTCTTTATGGCTGAAAAGTTTCATTGTGTATACATGCACACCACATTTTCTTTATTCATTCCTCTATTGATGGATATCTAGGTTACTCAGTCATTGTGAACAGTTCTGCAATTAGCATTGATGTGCAAATATTTCTGATATGTTGACTTAACAGCCCTTTGAGTAAATATCCAGGAGTGGTACAGCTACATTCCAGGTTTTTTAAAAAAAATCTTAAAGGGTGATAAATACCAGTTCATGACACAAAATGGTTTAGGTCAGTGAAATTTCCACATTCAGACAAAAAATAAAATCACCACACACACACACACACACACACACACACACACACACACACACACACACACACTTTAGGCACAATGGTTTAATCATCCGACTAATCTCTGCTTTTCTTTTTGAGACAGCTCTTGCTATGTTGTCCAGGTTGGTCTTGAACTCTAGGCTTGAGTGATCCCACCTTCATAGTTTCCAAGGTAACTGCAACTACAAGCACACTGCTATATCCTTCATTTCTCTTAATTTTTTTCATTTTATATACCAACTCCAGTTCCCCCTCCCTTCCCCTTTGGATCCTTGAGATGTAAAGACTGGACGGGTGGTGGTAGCACACACCTTTAATCCCAGCACTGGGGAGGCAAAAAGTAGGATTTCTGAGAGTTCGAGGCCAGCCTGGTTTACAAATTGAGTTTCAGAACAGCCAGAGCTGTTACATAGAGAAACCCTGTCTCAAAACAAAACGAAACAAAAAAACAAAAAAACAAACAAATGATGTAAAGACTGTGGTGTGACTTGGAAAGGTTCAGACAAAATGTTATGAAAGCATAAAATACTTTGTATTTATCCTTTCTCCCCACTTGTTTGTGTCAGTCAGGATAGGTTAGTGGGAGGAGTGACAAAGTTCAAATTTCAGGGGTGAAAGGGCAGACTGAGGTACAGCTCAGTGGTCCAACAGAGGGTCAACATGTGCCAAGATCCTGGGTTCCACCCCAGCAATTGAACAATGAGAATGAAATTGTGAATGGTCCATTTATCACAGGTGTATGGACCACTTTTGGGTCAACTACAAGGATCTTATTACAGTTACTCAAGAATATAGGTAGAAGGACAACCATAATTTCTAAGGGTAAAGGAGAGAACTAGAATTTTCAAAATGACACTTAGAGTTGCTTCCAGAAGTGCCATATTATTGCCAATACTCACAATGTATTGGCCAGAAATAGCTACCTAGTCCCATTCAGCCATAACAAGGTCAGGAGGTACAGCCTTCTCATAGGCAAGTGGGCACAGGTAGAGAAAATAGAATGTACAATTACATTGTTGCTTTACTTCTCAAATATGTGTTAAGGTTTTGTAAGAACCATACTGGCACGAACATTCATAACACTCAAAGAAATAAACTTACCTCAAGCAGGTTGGGGTCTTCTTTTGTTTCAAGTAAATCTTGAGGTATTATAAGAGGCTCGCTTTTCCCACAGCTCTCCTGGCTGATGAGCGTGTCTGCATAGTTGGGTTGTGGAAAGATCAGGTGACTCTTCCTTGAGCCTGAGGTAAGGGAAACTTCCTGGGAATAGGTCTGCAGGAAAGCTTGCACCCCATCCAGACCCACAAAGTGAGAGGCTGGTATGTCAGCCAATCCATTTCCTGAAGTCTGTAGCAGGCGTGATGAGTGCCAGCGCCGTAGTCTAAGTGCCAGCAGCACAATGACAAAGGCCAGGAAGATGCAGGAGACCACAGCCACTGCCACCACCAGGTAGAGTGTGAGGTCTGAATCTTTGGGATTAGCAGGGGTATGGATGCTTTCCAGGTCCCCAAGGACATCAGGGATGCTATCAGCCACTGCTATGGTGAGTGTGACAGTGGCTGAGAGAGGGGGCTGGCCATGGTCCTGCACAGCCACCACTAGGCTCTGCTTGAGGGCATCTCTGTCAAGCAGGGCCCGTGCAGTGCGTACTTCACCCGTGTGCAGCCCCACTGAGAAAAGTCCTGGCTCACTGGCCTTGAGCAGGCGGTAGGAGAGCCAGGCATTCTGTCCTGAGTCTTTGTCTACTGCCACCACCTTGGTCACCAGGTATCCAGGATCTGCAGAGCGGGGTGCCAACTCAACACCAGTAGAACCATCTATTGGGAGGGCAGGATACAGGATTTCAGGCATGTTGTCATTCTGGTCTAGCACAAATAGGCTCAGTGTCATGTTGCTGCTGAGTGGAGGGTTCCCACTGTCACTAGCTGTCACCTGCAACTGCAGGTCCCTAAACTGCTCATAATCAAAGGAGCAAAGAGCATACAGGACACCAGTATTGGAGTTGATGGAGATGTAGGATGACAGTGGCACCCCCTGAAGTGTGTCCTCAGCCAATGAGTAAGTGATTTGTGCATTCTTGTCAGTGTCCGGGTCCTGTGCTGTAACAGAGAAGATGGAGGCTCCCCTAGGATTGTTTTCTGGAACATAGGCTGAATAGGAGGTGTGTGTGAAGGTAGGAGGGTTGTCATTGATGTCTGACACATGCAGAGTGATATGAGTTTCTGTGGACAGTGGTGGGTTTCCCTGGTCCGTGGCTTTTAGACTGATATTATATTGAGACACTTGTTCACGATCCAGAGACTTAGCTGTCACTAAGCGGTAGTATTGGTCTATTGATTTTTCTAAAGTAAAGGGAAGGTTTCCTAGGACAAAAACCGTGACTTGCCCATTTTGGCCAGAATCTCGGTCATGCACACTGATAAGAGCGATTTCTCGTCCAGCAGGGGCTTCTTCTGGGACTGAGCCTGTGAGAGAAGTGATTGAAACTTCTGGGGCATTGTCATTCACATCCAGAACCTTGACAAGAAGCTTGGCTCTTGAAAAAAGACCTGGTCCATCTTGTGCTTCAATTTTGATTTCATAGAACACAGCATCCTCATAATCGAGACTTTTTAGTATTGATATATCTCCAGTCACCGAATTGAGATGGAAAACCTGAGCAATTTTCCCAGGCATTTTGTCTAGAATATAGGACACTTGAGCATTGAATCCCTCATCAGGATCAGTGGCATTCACTGTGATCAGCCGGGTGCCCACTGGCACATTTTCCAGAACACTGACATGGTACTCTGGCTTAGTAAACACGGGCGGGTTGTCATTTGCATCTAAGACTATCACCTTGATGCACAATTTGCCGGAGTGGACAGGGTCTCCACCATCAGAGGCAATGAGATCAAGCTGATGAACTGCTATTTTCTCACGATCCAAGGCTTGCTCCAGCACTAGCTCTGGGTACTTGGCGTCATCTGTGGCCAAGGAGAAATAATCACTGGGGTTGAGCTTATAGTTCTGCAGAGAGTTCGTGCCCACATCTGGGTCAAATGCAGTTTTAAGTGGAAATCGAGTTCCAGGATCTGTTAATTCACCAATTTTTATTTCCAATTCCTCTGTTGGAAAGCTAGGTGCATTATCATTAATATCGCTGATAGCGACTTCTACCTCAAATATTTTCAGCTTATCCTCCACAAGGATGTTAAAGCTCACAAGACAGGGCGCGCTCTGGGCGCACAGCTCCTCCCGGTCTATCCTGCCTGCGGTAACCAAGCTACCACTTCGCGGGTTCAGGGAGAAAAGCTGCGACCTACCTCTGGAGACGATGCGGACCCCGCGCTCCGCCAGCTGGCGGGGCTCCAGACCCAGGTCCTTGGAGATGTTGCCCACGAAGGAGCCTTTGTCCAGCTCCTCTGGCACCGAGTAGCGGATCTTCCTGAAGCCATCCGCACACTGCGTCCCCAGGAGCGCGCACAGCAAAGCCAGGGCTCCTGCGGTTTCTAGTCCCAGACGCATCATTTCCTTTCTTGTTTTCCCCCCTCTGAATGCCCACGATGGGTCCCAGGCTTACACCCTCAAGGAGATAAATCTTTCGTGGATTTAATTCACACACTACAGACCTGGATGATGATATGATGAGCTACTTCTCTCTTCTCAGACTGTTCTTGGCGTTTCTATGCAGCAGGGAAATGGTGGACTGCGTTTCAGCAGCGCCTTTTCTTCTTGTATGGTCAACAGCGACACCCAGAGGCCTAATTGTTCACTGCACACTCCCAGGTAAACCCAAGTAACCCTTTGTTCCTAGCTTCTTTACTTCTTTTCGCTGAAGGCAAGAGGACTCGTAACTGAACTGATATTTGTCAAGGGGTGTGGCTTCAAGTTATTTTTCTTTGGGATGTCGCACTCTAACCTTAACTCCACCAATATTGCTTCAAGTATAATTACCGTTTCCCAAAGGTTCAGTTTAATACCTACACAGAAGCATCCGTCGTATTTATAGATTGTAATTCTTGAAGTTGGCCTTTGATATCCTGACATATTCGTTTTTAATATTTTTCACTTAACTGATTCGTTAAACACACGATTGGGTGTCAGACAATATTTTTTTTGAGATTTAATGTGGAATATATATAGACACAACCAGTTCTGTCACAGAGTCTATGAGGGTGGAAAACCACTTGGGGCTTACAGGGCACTGAAATAACTATCACACTGAGAGAGGCCAAGGAGGATGGGAAGGTCTCCAACCTGGCTGTGGAGTTTATTGAAGGCCTTATTGAGAAGCATGAGAAGAATGAACCAGGAAAAAGGCTTGGGTGTGAGAGAAATTACAAACCTCGGGATAGTGAAGATGTTTACCTCACCCAAGTGCAGAGGTGTGGTGGTGCACGCCTTTAATCCTGGCACTTGGAGGCAGAGGCAGAGGCAGGTGAATCTCTATGAGTTTAAGGCCAGCCTGGTCTACAGAGTGAGTTACAGACCAGCCAGGGCTACACAGTAAGGTCTTGTCTCAAAACAAAGCAAATGGAAATAAAATTTTAAAATGTCATTTCAATCATGGTGCATTTCATATGTTTCTATAAGGTATTTATTCTCACAGGTTATTAACTCCTTAAAAGGAACTCCATCTTTGATTTTCTTCTGTTCATACTTTACTATTTACTATACACTTACATGTAAAGATATTGTGACACACTGTTCCAAAGTGAATTCTGATTTTATCTCATAGAGACTTATGCTGTACCAACAAACACATGGAATATTTGATACACTGCCCCAATTGTTCCATCAGAGACTCGTAGATGTAATAAGAACCCAAGCACCATGGGAGATGTGACTCTACCTAGTACAAGTTCCAATTAGTACATGGTTATTTCCAAATAAAAACAAACTGACTCTTAGTATTAGCACACCTACTGTTACTAAGTGCATGGTCAACACACTAAAACCAACACAGGAGGAATGGAGAAGAAAAACCACCTGTTTATGAATGGGAACATTTTTTGGTATCTGAATGAATAGGAACTTGGAGAAAACAGCAATTGTATGATATGGTCTCTGAATCCCTTATATCTTTTATATGAGCAAGGTATACTGAGAATAAGAATTATTTTTAAGATTAAAAAGTCAGTATGATTTCCAGATATGAGAAAAATAAAGTTTTAATGAAGAGAAACCTGCTTACTGTTGTCGAGAGCACAATAAACTCTCAAGGAGCACGGAGCTGCCTCCAGAGACTGCTGTTTGCAGCTAATCAGAGACACTATGGCATATTGAAACTCTAAGGGATGGAGGCAAGACTCAATGGCAAAGTGCATGCAAAATGAGGCCTTGGTTTCAATATACAGCACTTACACACAAACACATATTGGCTTGAGATATAGCTCAGTGTGAGAGTGCCTAACTATGGTACAAGGCCATGAGTTTGATTCCTAACATTGAAAAATTTATATTTCTATAATTATTTTGTCTTTGAGACAGTCTCATTTTTGTAGTCTTGGCTGGAGCTTGCTATGCAGATGAGAAATCTGCCTGCCTCTGTCTCCCAAGCACAGTGGTTAAAGATGTGTGCCACCATGCCTGGATAAAATTTCTTTATTTAAACAGGTATGGGTATGCAAATTGAGGAAAATAGGTAACTTCTCTGAAATCTGAAGGAGAAATATTAAGAGTAAAGTGAGAAAGAATCAACTAAATGTTTTATAATTCATACACAGATTCAAATGTAAAGCAACATTTTAAAGGAAGTCTTCAATTAATATAAAATCTTATGTATGCATTACACACACACACACACACACACACACACACATATCACAGTACTGGGAACCCATCCCAGGACCCAGTGCATGCATGCATGTACAGATCACCAGCCTTTCTGTTTTTAAAAAGAACCACTGATCCAAGTACATGAAATGGTTGTCCCATGGATGGAAAAGTTAAGAAACCAGCCCAGTTTCTAACAGTATTCTTTTGATGATCTAAATGTCACCATCAACTACTAAGCCATGATTTTCATTCATTCCACAAAGATTTTAACTTCCCTTACATCCCATGAGCACCCAAAACTACCTAGAAATAGTTCACCTGAATTCACTTAAACTTCAACACAGTTTCAAGGAAACAGGGGACTAAAACATGTAAACATTAAATACCTGGGCAACTAAATAAATGGGCAAATTTAGCAAAATAGCATGAGCATATGGCAAAAACGAATTACCTGAGAGGTTTCTTCTCTTTTATCATCAAGCAGGGATTGAGGTGCTGAAAGCATGTCAGTTTTGTCACAGCTCTCGTGGCTGATGAGAGTATCTGCATAGTTTGGCTGAGGGAAGATGATGTGGCTTTTCCCTGAGTCTGCAGTGAGTGAGACTTCATGGGAATAGGTCTGCAGGAAAGCACGTACCCCATCCACCCCCACAAAGTGTGAGGCAGGGATAACTCCTAAACCATCTCTTGAAGCATGAAGCATTCGAGACATATGCCAGCGCCGCAGCCTGAGTGCCAGCAGTGCAATGACAAAGGCCAAGAAGACACAGGAGACCACAGCCACTGCCACCACCAGGTAGAGTGTAAGTTCTGAATCATCAGAGTTGGCAGGGGTCCTGATGCTTCCCAGGTCAGCTAGGACCTCAGGGATGTTGTCAGCTATTGCTATGGTGAGTGTGACAGTAGCTGACAGAGGGGGCTGGCCATGGTCTTGCACAGACACTACCAGACTCTGCTTCAGAGCATCTCTGTCCAGAAGGGCCCGAGCAGTGCGCACCTCACCCGTGTGCAGTCCCACTGAGAAGAGCCCTGGCTCGCTGGCCTTGAGCAGACGGTAGGACAACCAGGCATTCTGTCCTGAGTCTTTGTCTACTGCCACCACTTTGGTTACCAGGTATCCGGGTTCTGCAGATCTAGGTGCTAGTTCCACACCAGTGGACCCATCTGTGGGGAGGGCAGGATAAAGGATCTCAGGCATGTTGTCATTTTGGTCCACCAGGAACAGGCTCAAGGACACATTGCTACTCAGTGGAGGGTTCCCACTGTCTACTGCTATCACCCACAGCTGCAAGTCTTGGAACTGCTCATAGTCAAAGGAGCGGAGAGCATAGAGGACTCCAGTGTCAGAGTTGATGGAGATGTAGGAGGACAGGGGTGCCCCTTGAAAGGTATCTTCAGCTAAAGAGTAGGTTACATGGGCATTGTCATTAATGTCAGGGTCATAGGCCAGCACTGAAAAGATGGAGGTGCCTCTGGGGTTATTTTCAGAAATGTAGGCAGAGTAGGACCCCCGTGGAAAGGAGGGTGGGTTGTCGTTGATATCTGCCACTTGCAGCAAAAGGTGGGTATCTGTGGACAGAGATGGGTTCCCTCCATCTTTAGCACTTAGAGTGATATTGTAAAAGGAGAACTCTTCCCTGTCAAGGGCTCTGGTTGTAACCAGTCGGTAGTAATTGTCCACTGACCGTTCTAACTTGAAAGGAAACATCTCAGGAAGTGAACACGTGACAACAGCATTCTGTCCAGAGTCCCTATCATGTACATTGAAAAGTGCAATTACCGTTCCTGGAGGAGAGTCTTCAGGAACAGAAGCAGTGGCAGATGTCATGTAAAATTCTGGGGCATTGTCATTGACATCTAGAACGGTGACAACAACCTTTGTTCTGGTTAGAAGGCCTGGGCCATCCTGAGCTTCAATATCAATTTCATGGAATTTAGCTTTCTCATAATCCAGACTTTTTGTGATTGTTATATCTCCAGATGTTGTCTTTAGCTCAAATACATCTGCAGCTTCTCCAGGGGCTTGCTCCTGAAAATAAGTCACTTGAGCATTGTATCCCTCATCAGGGTCAGTGGCTGTCACCGTGAGTATCCGGGTACCTACAGGCACATTCTCAGGAACGCTCACACGGTACTCGGGTTGTGTAAAAACAGGAGCGTTGTCGTTCACGTCCAGGACCTTCACACGGATACGGCAGGTGCCAGGTTGCACTGGACTGCCCCCGTCCAAGGCGACTAGAACAAGGTGGTGAACTGCCTCTTCCTCGCGGTCCAAGGCACGCTCCAGTACCAGCTCTGGGTACTTGTTGCCATCGGCCCCAGTTCGCACATCCAGAGAGAAGTGGTCATTTGAGTTGAGTTCATACTTCTGGAGGGTGTTCTCGCCCACGTCCACATCATGCGCACTCTTAAGAGGAATCCTGAATCCTGGTGTAGTCGTTTCACTTATCTTTAGTTCCGGTTCCTCTACTCCAAAGCGAGGAGCATTGTCATTAACATCTGTTACCTCCACCTCTACGGAATAAATAGTCAATTTATCTTCCAGTAGTAGGTTGAAGTTCATCAGACAGGGTGTGCTCTGGGCGCACAGCTCCTCTCGGTCTATCCTGCCTGAGGTAACCAAGCTGCCGCTTCGTGGGTTCAGAGCAAAAAGCTGCGACCTACCTCTGGAGACGATGCGGACCCCGCGCTCCGCCAGCTCGCGCGACTCCAGTCCCAGGTCCTTGGAGACGTTACCCACGACCGTGCCTTTGTCTGTCTCCTCTGGCACCGAGTAGCGAATCTGTCCTTCCCCGATCTGGCACAGCGTCCCCAGGACCAGCATTCTGCACCCGGGCAGCTTCTGCAGCGTCGCCATTGCCCTTTTTTTCTGCAGCCGAGTTTCCTCCGAACCAGCTTCCAGCACTGTGAAGGAGTCCAGTCCTTATCCTCCAGGGTCTGAGACTTCCAGTATTCACCGGTTCCAGGTCACCGAGGAGAGAGAAGTAACGGGCGGCTGGGTTGAATTTCCTTGCATCCTCTCCGACCGGAAGCTGCGGACAAACCGCCAGCCCTTTGTGTTGTGCCAGCCCTTCAGTGGGATTGGTTGACTGCCTTTTGCTCCTTAGGTGGTCAACAGCGACGCTCAGAGGCTTTGCCAGTTTCTGCACTCGCGCAGGCAAACCCATTTCATGCTCACTCTCAAGAATGACTCTTATATTGTATTATTTACACTATTATTGACTGTATTATTCACAGTAGAAGTAAGTATTAAAGGGAGGGACTTTTTCAGGACTAGTAAGAATGGTATAAATATATGTAACCTGAGAGTGGTTGCTGTGAAAGTGTTGTAGAACCTTTAAGGCATTCTACAATAGAACCAAGTGCTTTGGCCTTGCTGCATCACACTGTCGCCCGCTTTTTTCTCACTTATGCTCAGACAAAAAGATCAACATTAAAACACTGGCTACATTTTCTTACAAGGTAAGTTTTTGAATTTTTGTGCTCTGTTGCTTAGCATTTGACTACAAAACTTGATATTTAAATTGTTGATCACCAGACACTTAACAGCATGTGTGTCCAACACAAGGTTTGATTGAATCTTAGTTGGAAACCAGTTCTCAGAAACGTTTTAGGGTGAGGAAGATGTAGGAAAGTAAAGCAGATATTATTAAAGAGTATGGATGCCAAATTTGGAGAAAAGCACTGAGCCCTGGGGACATGCAGAGGAACGGGACCCAACTTATGTTGGGGATTCACAAAAGGCCTTTCCTGAATGCTACTTCATTTGGATCCTGACAGGTAGAATGGATTAAGAAAGAGGCTGGAGTGGCACCGTAGAAACGCAGAACCAATGCTTGGGCTGGGAGACAGCCAGGAAAAACATGGAAACAGAAGGTGGCTATAGCTGAATAAAGCTTGGGCAGACAGGGTACTTTGCGTTAAGAATCTGTCACTCAAAGTTGTTTGAGATTGTTAAGTGCTCTTTTCCTTTCTGTATTTAGTGTTGCCTGGATGATGCCATGGATGTATCCTTACTCCTGTTTGGCTTACATATGCAAAGATATCTATATAGAATGTACGTATTTAAAAACACACTGAAATATTTCAAGCACATAGATCACTATAGGAAGTAACATAACCAAACTCTGTGTACATACCAGTAGGCTTTATTTAATTTTAACATCATATCGTATTTAGATGTTTATACCTTTTCTTTTGAATAATTTCAGAATGGTTGTAAAAATAGTACAAATAAATCTCATATGTAGCAGTCCCTTGGTAGCTGAGGGGGCTTGGCTCTGTATCTGAGGATGCTGGAGTCCCTTGTGCAAAATGATGTAGAATATGCAAATGATCTGTGTACATTCTTCTGGGTAGTTTGTCATCTCACAATTAAACATGCTAAGTTTCCCATATTCTTCCAATTTGCGATATAGATGCAGGTTCATGCTATTGGACTTATACGCTTTACATATAAAGTTCACTGTATTCTATACCCACATTACCCCAAATGTGAACAATTTATTTTAATGCTCCCCATTTACTCTATGTAAGTTGCAGACATGATACACCTTTACTTTTTTTGGATTTCTTTATTATCAAACTATAAAATCAACTTGGCATTGATGCAGTTTCATTATCTAGCCTATAGCTCTTAGTAATACTTTGCCCATTGCTACAATGCCTTTTTTATAGCAAAATAAAATAGTTTTCAGGCTTAGGATCCAGCCCAGGATCTTATGTTGTACTTCACAAAGTTTCTGCAGTGGGTAGAATCTGATCAGTTCCCTAGGCTTTACACTTCATGACTCTGGACTTGAAGATTTGGCCAGCTCTACTGTAAAACATTCTCCCTTGTTGGGGTATGTTAGATCTCTTCTTAGGTTCAGATTGTGCAGTTCTGGTGGGAAGATATAGGACTGATGTTATCTCCTTCTCAGTGCATTTTCTTGGGAGCCATATGTGTCTTTGTCCCAGTACTGTTTTTGTTAACTTTAATCACTGGTAACATTCTAGAAATTTTCTAGTTATTTGTAGTTTTCTCTATTGTAAACTTACAATTATTATTTATTGATTAATAATTAACTTGTCTAATCCGGTTTTTGCTTTTCTTCTATCTTTCACTCTTTCTTAATTTGTGGTTTCTTGTGGCCCTTTTGTAGTAAGTTTTTTGAAATTAATGATTATGAAACTTCCAACCTTCATTTCAATATTGTTTTTTTTCTTTTTGGAGGGGTTCCTTGAGATTCTATATGAATTTTAGGATGGGATTTTTTTCATTTTCATTTCTGCCACAAATCTCATTATTAGAGTTTTGATATGGATTTCAGTGAATAGGTAGATTGTTTTAATTAATTCTGTGTATTTTATTTTATTATTTTTTACATTTTGACTGTTATTATGTATGTAGAGGGAAAGCCTATGGAGGCAAGAAGAGGGCATCAGATCCACTGAAGCTGGAGCAACAGGCAGTTGAGAACCTTTTGAGCCTTTCTGTTTGTTTGATATATGCTTTCTTTTGGAATTATGTTGAAATCGTGTATTATTTTCAAAGTTGTGCTTTTAGGTGATAGGAATTCATAATTTTCTACCAGTTTAACAACACTTTCTTCTTTTTGATAATCATGACCAAGTCATTTCTTTTTTTTTTTTTTTTTGGTTTTTTTTCCGAGACAGGGTTTCTCTGTGGCTTTGGAGGCTGTCCTGGAACTAGCTCTTGTAGACCAGGCTGGTCTCGAACTCACAGAGATCTGCCTGCCTCTTTAAATGAATTTCTTAAACACCACAACTAGTGCTTGTTGCCTTAAACATGACTTTGTTTTTGTATTAATGGTCTACAACATCTGCTTTCTTTTGTGCATGTGTGCACATGAATCTTTAACTTCAATATTTCAGTATTGAAGAATATATCTTGTCAGTAGAATATAGGCTTTTAAAAACCAACCAATCCATCAATCTGTCTTTAAATTATAAGAGCTAAGAAAATGCAGAGATGAAACAATTGATTAGTTGAGAGTGCAGTTTGGTACCCAAGAAGAAATTAAAACTCCAGAAGACATACAGCAAGAATGAAATTCCTTCAAAAGCCATCAGAGAAGAAACAGATTACTTAAAAAATGACAACCTGATGACAGAAGAGTTCTCATTTGTAATAATGATAAATTCTAGGAAGACAATATATTTTGAAATCTAGGCTTATACATTTATTTTAAGTAGAGAAATGGTTTTAAAAAATTGCTCTCACCTATTCTTCTTCATTATTGTTTTTCTCTCCTGAGGTCCTTGCTTGACACAAGGTCGCATGTAGCCCAGAATAGCTTCAAACTGGATATGTAGCTAACAATGACCCCTCTCTCCTCAGTTTCTTCAGTACTGGGATTATAAGCACGTGTGACCATGCCTATCTTCTATTGGTTCTGGAGTTATTTATCAGCCACATATGGTGGCAGTTCATATCTGCAATCCCAGCACTCAGAAAACCCAGATAAGAAAATCACAAATTAGAGGTCAGTCTGGGCTATGTAGCAAGTTTCAGTCCAACTGATGAGTACAGTGAGAGCCTGTTAAAAATATTGCTCAGGTTCCAGGCAATAACTAGGTCTTTGAAGTGCTTCAAAGGCTGTGTGGCAGTGTTAATCTGGAGAACACAGCTCAATGAGCAGACTTACTGTTCAGTGCATCTATGTTCATCTCCCTTGGTCTTCAGCTTGCAACAAAGGACAAGCACAGGAACAGGCAGGGAAGATTTAACGAAACTCCTGGATTTTAAGTAACTGAGGGTTCTTATTGCTCATATTGGTTTCAATCAATAAGCCAATCCTAGGCCACTTATTTAGAAGGAAGTAGTTTTGTCTATGTTGCATTGCTGGCCTTCAATCCCCATTTAAATAGCTCTAGACTGACTCCATAGTACTAATATTGATTTTGTCATTTTCACCGTGTGTGTGTGTGTGTGTGTGTGTGTGTGTGTGTGTGTGTAAGCTTTAAAACAGATTCTCAAGTTGTATGACAAAATTTCTATCCATTACCCTCCATTTAATAAGTTACTTAGAGATCTATTCTTAAGCACACATAACTATCTCTTGGTGAGAGATTATAGAACTAAGAAGTTTAGCAACAAAATCAGAGCTTATATAGATTATTATCATTTTATAGTAACACAAATAAAATTATGGCTTTTGATGATTTTCATAACTATCACTTCTGAATATGTGGGTAGTCAACTCAGAACAATAAAATAAATTAGACAGACATAAGTGAGAAATAGAAGACACATTCATTTCTGATGCAGTTCTCTTTCCCAAAGGAGCTAGGCCTTCTCTCTCTATCCTCACCACTCACAGTTTAACTAAGGCATCCTTTCCACGATAGGAGCTTCCACTCTCCACCCTTTATTGAGACAGAGTACTGGGATTCTAGGTATGTTACCCAATCATGATGTGATGATACATTATTTATGATTTAGTAAAGATTGCCTGAAGTATCAGAAAGCAAAGCCATACTGGTTAGCTATAGAAGCTAGGCAGTGGTGGCACACACCTTTAATTCCAGGACTCAGGAGGCAGGCAGATGGATATCTCTGAGTTTGAGGCCACCCTGGACTGTACAAAAGTGAAGAGTAACAGAGCTCATGTCTTTGATACCAGCACTTGGGATCATATGCCTTTAATCCCAGCACTAGGGAGGTGGAGACAGGAGGATATGGCCGAGCAGAGAAAGGAATATAAGGAGGAGATAGGAATTCAGAGATTCTTGCCTCTGAGGATTCATGGAGACAGGATTGCCATTTCAACTTGGTAGAGGTAAGATCTACTGGCTAGGCTGCTTTGCTTTTCTGATATTCAGCTTGAAGCTTGAACCCCAATATATCTCTGGGTAATTTATTATTCATGTTACACATGGAATGCCTATAGAAATCTAAAAGGGTAGGTCACCTATGTTGAGGCTACATGCCTGAGATCACAGCCCTCCAATAGTCTGAGGCAGGAGGATTATTAATTTAAAACCATGCTGGGCTACAAAGTGAGTTCAAAGCCAGCCCAGGTATCTTATCAAGACCTTGTCTCAAAATGGTAGCACTCACCTAGTATTCATAAGCCTTTATGTTTAATCCCCAGCAGCATGAAGCAAAAATAAACACACCTAACCACTCCTGGGGTATAATGGAATATACCTTTTACAGAAAATAGAGAAAGCAAGTATGTACAGACATGAATTATTTTCATCATCAATATAACTTATAAGGTCATTACAAGTTTACCTGAGAAAATATTTCCTCTTTATCTTCAAGCAGAGACTGGGGTGCCGACAGAAATTCCCTTTTCTCACAGCTCTCTTGGCTGATGAGTGTGTCTGCATAGTTGGGCTGTGGGAAGATCAGGTGGCTCTTTTGAGAGTCAGCAGTGAGTGAGATCTCGTGGGAATAGGTCTGTAGAAATGCATGTACCCCATCAACACCTATAAAGTTTGAGGCAGGAATGTCAGTCAATCTGTTTGCCGAAGTCTGGAGCAAGCGTGAAGAGTACCACTGTCGCAGTTTGAGCGTCAAGAGTATGATGACAAAGGCTAGGAAGATGCAGGAGACTGCAGCCACTGCCACCACCAGGTAGAGTGTGAGATCTGAACCCTGGGGATCGGCAGTGGTCCCAGTGCTGCCCAGGTCAGCCAGGAGTTCAGGAATGCTGTCAGCCACTGCTATGGTGAATGTGACTGTGGTAGACAGAGGAGGCTGGCCGTGGTCCTGTACAGTTACCACTAGGCTCTGTTTCAGAGCATCTCTGTCCAGCAGGGCCCGGGCAGTGCGAACCTCGCCTGTGTGCAGTCCCACTGAGAAGAGACCTGGTTCACTGGCCTTGAGCAGACGGTAAGATAGCCAGGCATTCTGTCCCGAGTCTTTGTCCACTGCTACCACCTTGGTCACCAGGTAACCAGGTTCGGCAGACCGTGGTGCTAGTTCCACACCAGTGGAGCCATCTTTGGGGAGGACAGGGTACAGGATTTCTGGGGCATTGTCATTCTGATCTATCATGAACAGACTCAAGGATACATTGCTGCTGAGTTGTGGGTTCCCACTGTCACGAGCCATCACTCTTAGCTGCAAATCTCGAAACTGCTCATAGTCAAAGGATTGCAATGCATAGACAACTCCAGTGTCAGAGTTGATGGAGAAGTAAGAAGACAAAGGCACTCCCTGAATAGTGTCTTCCACCAGGGAGTAAGTCACTAGTGCATTCTCATTGTGGTCAGCATCCTGGGCCTTTACAGAGAAGATGGAAGCCCCTCTGGGGTTATTTTCGGGAATGTAGACAGAGTAGGAGTCCTGTTCAAAAACTGGAGGGTTGTCATTGATATCTGTCACTAGCAGTGAGATGTGAGCTTGGGTAGATAGGGGCGGAGTTCCCTGATCTGTTGCTGTTATTGTGATGTTGTGTCCAGAGCTATGTTCCCTGTCCAGTGTTCTTTCTGTTACCAAGCGGTAATAATTGTCGACTAACTTTTCCAGTTTAAAGGGTAGGTTTCCAGGAATGGAACATGTGGTGTGACCATTGTTACCGGCATCTTGATCGTGCACACTGATAAGAGCAATTATGGTCCCAGGAGGAAAGTTTTCTGGCACTTCGGTAGTGACAGAGGTGATCCCAACTTCTGGGGAATTATCATTAACATCCAAAACAGTGACCAGCACCTTAGCTCTAGCCATGAGTCCAGCACCATCCTGTGCTTGAATTTCCATCGGATAAACTTTGTATTCCTCAAAATCTAGTGGTTCTTCATTTGTTATTTCTCCTGTGTAAGAATCCAAATGAAATTTCCCGGCCACACTGTGGTCTACGTTATGAAAAGAGTATGTTACTTTGCCATTAGCTCCCTCATCCGGGTCAGTAGCATTCACCTTGAGCAGCCGAGTGCCTAATGGGACGTTCTCAGGGACACTCACGTGGTACTCTGCCTGAGTAAATGAAGGTGGGTTGTCGTTCACATCTACCACCTGAACACGAATTTGCAGAGTTCCCGAGTGTACTGGGTTACCCCCATCAGAGGCAGTGAGGACAAGGTAGTGGATAGCATCTTTTTCTCTGTCTAGGGGGCTCTGCAGTACCATCTCTGGCTGTTGTGGTCCTTCAGGTCCCTGTTGCACATCCAGGAAGAAGTGAGGGTTGGCGCTTAGCTGGTAGCTCTGAAGTGAGTTTATTCCCACATCAAGGTCTTGCCCAAGGGGCAGGGGGATCCTGGTACCTGGAGTCGTTATTTCACTCATTTTTAATTCCAGCTCTTCTAACTGGAATTGGGGGGTGTTGTCGTTAATATCAATTATCTCTACTTCGACAGGGAAAAGCCTCATTTCATCTTCCACCAGGATGTTAAAGCTCACGAGACAGGGCGCGCTCTGGGCG